TTCGCTGCCCAGACAGAGGACGTGGATACGAGTACCAGGGCGGAAGATACCCAAGATGTTCCTCTATAAGCAGGAGCTGGCTCTCGCCCATCACCTTCATGTACACCAAAATATGAAAAAAAAAGGGGTTTTTTTTTTTTCATCTCCCAGTCGCAGCCTGACTGGAGAAGACCTTTGGAATTCATGTCACCTCCAAACAGCTGCGAAACTTCTAGTATGGAGTCACCCATGGATAGCTACCTGGAGACCAGTACTCTCGATCTGGAAGACCTCCAACATCGAGCAGCTCCGACAACGTCGCTACGGTCTAGGACATCATCTTCACCGCAGTCGCCAAGGCGCGGGTTGATGGTATGGACCGGACGTACCTGGAATGGAGACCAATATTTTCTTCGTGGACCCCGGACTGAAGGTGAGCGCTGGCGGTTACATCGAGCATTCGAGAAGAATATCCTCCCACATGTCGTCGCCCGTACCTTCTTGGAAACTTTGTACTGTACAAGCATTGGGTGTACCATATGGTCCACTTGGAAATTGAGGGTTGAGTCTTGAGAAGACTGGAATCTGAAGCAGGTCACCTAAACTAAATCCTTTGATTAGCTGGGTTCGAGCGAAGCTCAATAGGATGGTCTCCGCTGGCGGAGAGCATCACGATCTCGACTGGACTCAACTACCTATTCACGGTTTCGCATGGCAGAATACTCTCGATGGCGGCTCCTCCAGAAGGCTCTGGCGAAGTATCATAATAGCATTTAATATGCTTTTTAATATGGTTATAAAATGTTCGATCAGAATTTAGTCAAGTGTTACTTGATAGGCCTCGAAAGTCAAGGCTTAGAAAGTGACCTGAGCATTGGTGTCTGAGCGGGTCCTAATCCCTTTTGAATAGAACTAGACTCCCACAAATAGAACCTTTGGATTATCATTTTATTGCATGACATCAGCGTAAGAAATCCTTCACGAAAAAAGGATTTCGTAGGAAAGCGACACACAGCGCTTGTGAGCGCGAGGCTTCCTCCACATCAGTGTTTTTTCGGCGTCAGCAAACCCAAGTGCCAATTGGCTGGCCATTGAAGAGAGCTGGGCTTAATTGAACCAGGAGATTACATTCTGTAAGCTGCCCAATAGTGTTTCTGTTGTACCTACATATCCCAAGTCCATCAAGTTCAGCGTTTCTACTGATTTTCTTCGGCAATACGCACAGATGACTTCTGTAATAATTAATGGCTTTACTTTTCGAAAGTTCCATAAAAATAACGGAAGAAGCACGCCAAATCCTGGCCCTGAAGTGTCTGCTCGCGTGAAGGAGGGAGAACGTTGATCTTGTGACGATTTTTTGCATTTTTCCGCGAGCCGTCAGCACTTTTTTTCGAGTGCTCGGCGGCCCCCATTCCTATTCGTACCGACCTAGGATGTCGTTGATGACAAGCTGACGGAGATTTTAAGCGAATCGACCGAAATCCTGGAAATGAGTTGGCCAAAGCGTCGCTGATTGGTGCTCAAGAAAGGCATGCGGTCGGCCGGAACTTCACAATGAGATAAAGCCGCGAAACGAGGTTAGAGGCGGCCGGCGCTCCTCTATGCGCTGCTCGTCATCCCTCGTCGCATTGTGCCTGAGTTGCTCTACACTTTCCTTTGCTATACCTAGTCCGCATGCTGCTGAAATTTCTTGGATGCAACCTTCTTTTACCGTTCTCCGGAAAGTTATTGTTACTCTTTCTCTCTTTTCAAGACCACTCTTTTGCTTTACATCAGTTTTTCTTCTTCTTCTAGCCCACGTCAAGATCGATTTTCCTTTTGTTTTCTTTCTGGCCCGGATAGCAAGATGATAAATCGTCCATGGTCTTCTTGGACCCTTCTTCCTCAAGTGGCGGGGATTCGAGGAATAGGAAGCAATGTTTCCCGAACTGACTGCATTTACTGGCAAACGGGCCCACTTTCGGGTTTATCACTTGAGTTCTCCTGCCCTTTTCGGAATCAAACGGGCTCTGAGGAAGTCATTGAAAGGTCAATAATTGCCTTCATCCTTATCTGCTCCTGGAGTGATTTCCCCCCGAAAGAAGGAAGTCTACCCGCCCGGAAGAAAGAAGTCTGTCCGTCCGCGGGAATCTATCTCATCAGCTTTCCGTAACTCCCAAAGTATCTGAACCCTTCTGCTGTTCTAGCGAGTTGTGAGACACGGAGGGAATCCTCTGGAAAGGGGTAAAGCAATAAGGGCTGAATGGCTCTTTTAGAGTGCGCTGCGCCACGCATTCCACTTCGGTTCAACATCGTAACGGTATTGGATAGAACTTGGTCCCATGTCTTGACATTGACATGCTATGGCCACCCACTGTAAGATCCAAGGCTTCTACCGTAGCCAAACGAGTCTGGCTTGTGTGATCGAGTTCCAAAGTTACGAAAGGTTTGGCCGACCCCGGGGGGGGTAGGTGGTGGATCGCTTCCGGATTTGTCCCATATAGATAATATCCGCGCACTAAGAAGCCCCATTTTCCACTGCAGCACGTCCTTGAAATCCAAAATAGTCCGTCAATAACACTGAAATGTCTGAAATCTCGAAAACCACTCAATAGTACTGCCTATTTCCAGATGAATCGTGCCATGCAGGTGAAACCGGCCGACACCGAGAGCCGACCAGCCAGTCCAAAAGACAAGGTGATTTGTCCAAGCCAGACGTTAATGCTAGCGGTGCCCTGCTCTGGCAGCCACCGCCGGCATTTCCTTCGGTGTCAATTTGGCTACAGGTTTCCCACTTTGGTGACGTTTTAGTTACAGGTCGATGATAAGAAACTGTTCGTCGGGATGCTCTCAAAGCATCAGTCCGAGGACGAGGTTCGCGCTCTGTTCGCTCCTTTTGGTGTATTAGAAGAGGTGAGTTGAAATTTTTTTGCATCGATTTCCATCGGAAATAACCCGCCTATTTTCGAGGTAATGCCCAGTAATTATACGTCAGATGGGTTGAGAATGGCTCTTTTATGCTTATGGAGCGGGTCATTCCCCAAGAAAAAGGGCGCTGTTTGGGGGGGGGGGCGGTGAATGATGCTTTACACTCCTATCTTCCACGGAATCCTTAGCCGCTGATTTCACAATGAGCAGCTTCTACAGTAACTTGGATGGCATAAGCAGCCACTCTTGCAGTGTTTCGAGCAAGGACAACCCGAAGGGGGAAATTTTCCTTGATACGGCCCTGTTACCTCTTCTTGAAAAGCCTGGGTGTACAGTGTCCCTTGCTAAGAGCTTGGCCTGAACACACTGTCCTTATATAGGCTATGGGCGCCGCTTAGCGCTTGCGCAAATTTGCGGGTTTGATTCTCGTGCAGGCACCGGCCATTCAAACCCCTTCCCCTTACCCAGTGTCGCTCCTATCTGGGGGATATCGGCCAACTGGGCAACCTTCGAAACTCTATGTGATGGTCCCAAAACCCCTCCACTAAGCGTGCTGTACCTAATGGAAGAACTGTGCACAGTGGACTGCTATTATTTTTATACTTATCTTCGATTATCCGACCACACCACTCTAGGAGGGGGAGGGAAGGAGAAGAAGACGACGTCATTCCGCCCACGAAATGACATGCTTGAAGAACGACGAAGCCATGATATATGGCCAGTGATTTATCCATTTTCCCGTGATTTATGCCCATTTCGTCCACAAGGGGGCTACTCCGATCAATAGCAATATCTACATACTGTTTACTATATTGTTTACTCTTGGGAAAAGGATCTGAACTGGTAAATATGACCGTAGGCGCTTAAAAGCCCTAAAATTGGAATTGAAAAGCTTGAAAACGATACACATTTTGTGAGTAACTTGAGTTGGTTAGGGGAGGAGGGAGGGGTATTTAGATAAGATCTGTAGATGCTAAGGGGTCTGCTAGTGAAGAAGAAGCCAGAAAAGCCCCTCTGAGATCACTTTGAATGCCCTGAATAAGACCCTCTCGCCGTGCAGTTTCCATGGAACTGAAAACGCTATTAAGAAATTCCCGTTTCAACTTCGAATTCGCCTGTTATCTAATAGAGCTTGTTGAAGCGCAGAAAAATCCCCCAGGGATGTCGATTTATCCGACTCGGGCTGCTCTATGCATTTATGCGTGAGGAACGAGAATGAAGCGCCCAATTGATTGCCGATATCCCTCATAGGCACACACACATATCCACAAGCTCTAGATGAGCGGCTAGAGGGATGAAACGGGATTATTCAAAGCGCAAAGTCCATCCGAGGGATCAAGAGGTTTACTTCGCTATCTAGAGGCATCTTGCATCAGTACAGAGCCTAGGGAGCACCAGGAAGCCCTAGCGACGCTTCTTTTCTCGTGACACACTAGCGCTCTTGGGTAGCACACTTGAAAAGAAAAGGGAGGCCCAGGTTCAAGCCCCGGCTAGGGCACAGCATTTTGTCCATAATCAGAAATCTTGTGGTAATTAAGGACGCCGTCAAAGAGCGGGTTCCTTTCCAGCTTCTCGAGGAGCTCTAACCATATGTCATGGCGGGTTGGGCTCTCTTTCCACCCGCCGATCGAGCTGGAACTGGGCGTTATTGTTGGTTTGGCCCAGGGCGCTCATCGTTGGGGATTCCGCAACAAGGGTTGTACTTAGTAGCTTGGGGAGAGGGGTCGTCTTTGATCTGAGAAAACTTTTTTGATAGATTGGGTTTTCTTGTTTCACGAACGCTATAAGGGGGATCGCATTTGTTTGTTGTTGGGAGAGGGGGTAGTATTTGCATCCTGAGAGAAATTTGCGGCGTTGAGAAAAATTTTCCCGGTCGTTGATTTTTCCAGGAAGCTAGAGAGGTCCGAAAGTTTTACCCAGCGGCAAGACGTGCCCTGGCTAGAACAACAAACTGAATCAGTAAAAAGGGAGGGGGGGGGGTCGTATCAAGTCAGCCCTAGGGGAGGGAGGGGCGTATGGACTCGACCAAAATCCCTAACGCCTGACATGCCCTGGTGGGCACCTTTTCGGGTTACTTCAACCTTGGCTGAGCCAGCGGCCCTCAGGAATGACGAATGGGATGTGCAGAAGCGCAGATTACTGATGTCACTGTAAGTGAACTCGTCCGACTCCTGCCACTCCAATGATCTCTGAGCCCGGATTTTCTGGGTAAACGTGACTAAAAGCTGACCCACAACTAACTGAACCGTTCCAGGTGACCGTGCTACGTGGCGCTGATGGTGCGTCGAAAGGTTGCGCTTTTGTGAAGTTCAAGAATGCTCTGGACGCTCAGATGGCGATCACTGCACTGCACGGCAGTCAGACAATGGCTGGTGCCTCGTCAAGTCTGGTCGTCAAGTACGCTGACACTGAAAAGGAACGACAGGTTGGTACCACCATTTGGCCTGCTGTTGCTTTACTACTGCATATAAAGGATACGATTCATCCCACAAAGTAATTAATTAACCCTCTCTCTCTCGATCTAGGTCCGTCGAATGCAGCAGATGGCCGCGCAGATGGGTCTTCTAAATCCGGTGCTCGTCAACCAGGTCGGCGCCCAATACAGTGCCGCATATCAGCAGGTCAGTGATGGATCGTGAAATTGTAAGGGATCGAACACAAACTCAATACAAAATTAAGGGG